ACGCAGAGAAACTAAAGCAGATACCTTAAAAGCAACTGAGGCCAATAGGAAAAGGGGACCAGGAACTAGAGAAAAGGTTGGATCAAAAAGAATTAACCTAGAAGTTAACACACACGCACAGGAAATTAATGTGAGTCAACTCCCTGTATAGCTATCCTTATCTCAACCAACAAAAACCCTTGTTTCTTCCTATTATGGCTTATACTCTCTCTACAACAAAATTAGAAATAAGGGCAAAATAGTTTCTGCTGGGTATTGAGGGGATCGGGCGGAGAGGGAGGGGGCGGAGTGGGTAGTAAGGAAGGGGGTGGGGGCAGGGGGGAGAAATGACCCAAGCCTTGTATGCACATATGAATACTAAAAGAAAAGAATGGTGCTTTTTACTTTGAGTAAGAAAGCCAAATTAATCAATCCATATCTAAGTCTTTAAGTTTAATTGAACCTTTTTTATCCAGTATTTCTTGATCAGAACTAGTTGTTTTGGCTTTACATAACCTTATTTTGAGGATAGAAAGTAGGGAAGAAAAAAATCAATGTCTTGAGACTTGCTTTGATGTTGGAAATAGCAAGTTGAATTCACGCCAGATGTTGTAGCTCTTTGTGTATCATGTAAAGTACAGGATTAGAGGAATGATGTGCACAGTGCAGGATGATAAAGATACCTTTGTATGGGTCCCTCTAATGCCATATACCTAGCGAAAATAGAATCTTTCCCTTTTTTTCTGGTGAAGAATAACTTTGAACATTTTTTAATTGCAGAAATGAAAGCCTGAATTTCAGTGGTAGACTGGTTTTTATGATCAATAAGTCATCTCAGATGACCAAAAGATAGCCTAATCAGCTTGTCTACTGAAGGGTTCCATGTTTTTAAACAAGTTTGAATTTCATGTTTTGGCAACACTGCTCATTTCTGTTTTGCAGTTTGAGGGATGGGGATTCTGGGTGTTGGTATAACTCTTACTTCTAGTTTTGGAATATAGAGCAGTGACAGGATACTCTTGTTCCCATAGCTAAGATGGGTTGCCTTAGTGTAAAAGGAAGGAAAAAATATGCCAACAGATTCTGTTAAAGATCTGACCCTGTCCCTATAGTTACAGACCTTAATGTCACTCCTGATACTCAGTTTCAAGAAAAGGAACAGGGCTGGGAGTGTGGCTTGAGTGGTAGAGCATGTGCCTACCATGCACAACACCCTAGGTTCAATCCCAGGTGAAAAGAAAAGATATGAAGGGGAGGTGATGCCTGTGAGCTAAGTCTGACAGGCAGAAAATAAAAAGGAAATCAGAAAACAAATGCAGGATATAAAGTGAATCCATCAACAAATACCTTTGAGGACCTTTATGTGCCCTGCATATGAATAACAAAACATAAAAAGGATGGATGATAACTGGATAGCTCCTTGCCTACCTAATAAAATTTAAATTAAAATTAAATTTGGAGAGCTGATGGAGTGGCTCAAGTGGAAGAACACCTTGCCTAGCAAGTGTGAGGCTCTGAGTTCAAGTCTCAGTGCCTCAAAAAAATAATAATTAAAAAATTAAGTTAAATTTGGAAATACAATGCTCTTCACCCTTCAAAATTTCAACATGTAGAATTTCAAACCTATAAAATAATCACATGGGAAAGCTAATTCATTTGGGGCATCTTGACTCTTAATATGTATATAAAGCAACAATGCATAACACAGAACAAGTAAATGGTGATGTTACTTTTTATTGTATTGGTTTATGAATATTTTTGCTGTGTCCAATCCCAAGTTAGCTAAGCAAACTGTAGAATGGCATACAACTCTACTGGTCATTCTTAATGCCTGAGAAGGAAGAGAAAATTCTAGTGCCAGCACAGAAAATCAAGGATACCCTCAAGAGTAAGAAATACTTCTTGCTGGAAGTAGGTCTTAAAAGTAGCCAGGAGTGCAGGCTGAAACAACAAAAATCAAGTATTCCTAATAGCATCAGAAAAGTTTTCATGTTGAAGAACCACCCCTCTTCATAATTATGATTTTACCTGAAGTTTGTGACATCAGTTTAATTTTTTGCAGAGATGTACAGTCAGCCCTCCATATCTTCATATTATGCATCCACAGTTAACTAACAGCAGATTGAAAATATTTAGGGAAGCAGGCATATTGGAGCATACCTGTAATCTCAGCATTCAGGAGGTTGAGGATCATGAGATCAAGGGCAGGCTGGGCTACATACCAAGACTCTGTCAAAAAAAATTCAAAAAACCAGCAACAATACAGTAATAAAAAATACAAATAGAAAATACAGCATAACAATTATATAGCATTTACATGGTATTTGGTATTATAAGTAATCTAGAGATAAAGTACATGAGAGAAAATGTGCATAGGTTATATGCAAAAACTATACATACTACTTTATGTAAGGGACTTGAGCATCTGCACATTTTGGTGTTTGCAGGGGGATCTGGAACCAATCCCCCACAGATATTGAACAAATAGATATATCTGGTTTTATGCTTACAGCCTCTAATGTGATGGTCTTTACTTTCCATAAATTTTGCCTTGCAGTTAACTCTACTGGAATACTTTTACTCGGTGAAGTAAAAAATAGCTCATTGGAAAATGAAGCTCTTCCCCATGAGTTGAGTTTTGTGAAGTGAGGAATTTGAAAGGCTTGGAGAGAAAGAATTGCACCAATGGCATTAGGAATCACATGTTATAGAATCATCAGCAGGGGAGGTTAGGAAAGGACTCCTTCCCATATTGATGGCCTGTGGGCCACATGCTGCCATTGTAGCTGGCTCTTGCCCCCTGTGGTCCCAATTGGTGTCCCAATCCAGCAGATAATGTTAAAGCCACATTTGTGCCAGTATGTATCACCCTGTCTGCTATGCCTCTTTTTCCTGCCTTACACGCACACACACACTTCTGTTATTTAGTCAGGACAAATCAACAAAGAATCATTTCTTCTGTGGTCTGCTATGCCTCTGCCCACTCTTTTTCCTGCCTTACACGCACACACACACTTCTGTTATTTAGTCAGGACAAATCAACAAAGAATCATTTCTTGTGTGGTCATCATTCTGCAATACTTTTCCCTAAGTGAGTACCTATCAAATGTCTTTTAGATAGGAAATTTTCTTGAAACAAACACAGTGAAGCTGTATGGAACACAGATAAATATGGTGCTGTTCTTGTTCATTTGGATGGGATCTGGAGCCCTGCCATCAATCCTTTCCCAGCTCCTCACATAGGGCTAACCCTAAGAGAGTCTAACCAAACCCTCAGAATCTAGCCATTGCCCCCAAACATTTTATGTAGCAACAGAAAGCTGATTTTTTTAAGCATTCATGAAGAAATGGCTCTGGGTAGAATTTAAGTTCTTAAGCATTTATAGTATGTGCTTCTTTCTTAGTAGGGCCCTATTTTTGTGCCACAAAATAGTTATACAAACAAAGGTCTGACAGAACAAGTTTTCACGAACAAAGCAAGATCTTTACTTTTCCCAATTCTGAACTCTCTGAACCCCTCCCAGCCCATGCCTGCCCACTTAAAGGTAGAACCAGTCTGCACCCAACTAGATGAGCCACCACAGAGGATGAGGTCCTGAAAGGCTTTAGTTATGGTAGGGTGGTAGGGGGCAAGAGAAAATAAATTGATGAGGTCCACAAGCCAAAGCCAAGTAAAAGAGTCAAGGAGTAGGCACAGGGACACAGCAAAGCACAGGCCAGGATGAAGCACAAGCATCAGCCACTGTTACCAACCATCACCTGCACAGCATATGGGCAGGCAAGGGAAGGGCTGGCCACTCTGTAAGGTCAAGTTGATTTGCTCTCTTAAGTTTTAGCCCTTTGCTTCTGCCTCTCCTCTCACAAAGAGGAAAGCTGCTGTCTGCTCTCTTACTCCTTCTTTAACTTTGCTCCCAGAGAAGGCTAAGCAGGTAGGTTGCGGGCTGGCTCCTTGAATCACAGCACACTGGTGCAACACTTTTCAGGCTTGTCTCTGGCCTAATGCTCATGACTGCTCATGACACACTTCCATAGACATAGGCAGATTTTGCTAGCTCCCTCTTTTCCAAGGGACATGGTGTTATGTGTTGATAGTTCTGTAGAGACTCTTGAGCAGCTTGCCAAGGACACATCAGGACGGTCGGGATCTGAGCGACTTCAGTGTACCATCTCTCCTCCACCTCCTTCCCTCTAACTCAGGAAAGTACATTGTGTGAAATGCCATTAGGATAGATGCCATCTCAGATTTCCCCTAATTTCTGTATGAACAATTGTTGGGAGACGTGCTATGACAATGATTTAACCCACCTTATCATTGACACATAAGCAAAGACCTAATGTGCTTGGCAATTTAACATATACTCTAAAAAGCTACATTTAAGGGCCCTTATCCTAGAAATCTTGATACGAGCTACAATACGGGTGACTTTTATTCTCAGTTTCACCTTTATCTCAAAAGGAATGACAGTAACTTACACTCCTAAAGTGCTTGATAATAAACTCTTACCTAAATAAGGAAACTGAGACAGAACAACCTTCTGTGTTAATACAGTTACTGTAAGCTTGAAGTTACATACTTGAAGGAATTTCAAGTATGTAAGCTTGAAATTCCTGGTAACCAAAGTAAAAAAAAATTTTAAGAGGAAGCTTGATGAAGACAAATATGCCAGTCTTTCTAGAAGTGGTTTGTCACACAAAGGGACAATGCAATAGCATGTTTTACAAAAATCACAGATACATTACAAAAATGACCTTGCTTGGATTCCTCTCCCAGAGAAACTCTTAATTTGCTTTACAAAATCCACAGGTTTTCTTGACAGATAATGGAGGCTCCAAACACGGAACATGAGTCTTAAGACTGTGATGTACTGCCAAGAGCTCACATATGTTCGCTCAAGAAAATTAGAGGTCCATCTTCAGGCTGTGTGTGAATATGGGCCATAGGTTACATATCAGTTAGGGCTTATCATTCCTAAAGCTACGGGATATCTAACTGATTTGATTTTGGGAATTTCATTTTTCAGGAGTTCTTTGGAATTTATCCTCATGTGATGCTGTAAAGATGACAATCATTCGAGATGCTCTCTCAACCTTAACAAACACTGTGATCGTTCCACATTCTGGGTGGAATAACTCTTCTTTTGATGATGATCATAAAATTAAATTTCAGACTTCACTAGTTCTGCGTAACACCACAGGTTGCCTGAGGTAAGTTCTTTATTTCTTCTTTCCAGTGAATTCTGTGATTAAATAATATGTGTCATAGGTAAATTAATTGCAGGAGAATTCTATCTTATTTACATCTACCTAAGTTGGCAGTTTTTGCTTCACAGTTTGGGCCACTGGACTTTCTTACTGTGTGAAGAAAAGGTTTTGAACACAGACTTGTGGCATTAAAGCAGCTGTTATATAAATGACTCTTCTGTGAATTATTCAGGAAGTCCCTTTCAGTCTGAGATTACTGCCAGAATTCCACTGTTTTCCACTTTAACCACATTTTTCTAGTTACCACATTCTGAATTGCTGATATGCTTGCAGTTTTTATTTAAATTTAAAGTAATTTTAAAATAGTTAAAATTATTTTGCTTTGAAAAGGGTGTAAAGTGTTGTGTGACTTAAACAATATTGGTTTTGAGTTTTATAAAAAATGAAAACAAGCCTAAATACTATTTTTTAGTCATTACCTTTAGCATTCAAAATACAGAAGCCTTTTTCAAGTGTACACAGTGCAACTCAGTATTTGCCATTAATGTTCATCAGCTCACATTTGACCCATTTCCCAACCTGTCAGTGCCCTGGGAACTTGAAACAGAAACTTTAGGGCAGAGTGAGAGGGGCCTGGTAACCAGAAGAGTGGGCTCTGGCCTCAGACAGCCCAGCTTCCAGTCCCACTCTGAGCTTTAACTTTCTCATCTGTAGAGTAGAGATGGCAGTACCACCCAAGAGTTGTGAGGAGTCAGCTGTGCATGTGCAGTGTGGAGTCAGAGAGCCAGCATTGGGTGGAGACTATTTAACATTCAAACCAAGATGCCTGAGCATCCCTACAGTAGGGAGCTTGAGAAGGAAGGAGGGAGGGCCATGCTGCTGCTCCAGAACCTTTGCAAATTGCGACTGGCAGCCATCACGTATGTGGGGGCGGGTAATAAGGGAGAAGATTCCTGAAAACAAGCAGCTCCTCCTAAATGAGATGGCCACGTTCCAACTAGTCACTAGGAAACCAGCATCTCATCCTTTTCCCACACCTGGAGCCAGAGTGTTGAAAATTGGGGCAGGGCACACCCTCGCTTCTGAGTGGTTCAGAGCTGTAACATTTGATGAATGTCTTCTGTAAGAAACCTGGGAGGAGTAAGACTAGGCCCAGCTCAGATGCAGTCATGTTCTACTGAGGAAGACAGACAAATGAGGGAACAAGAAAATGACAGTAAGCACCATAAAAAAAAAAAAAATAAAGAGGGTGATGTAATGGTTACTGGGTGGTTACTGTGCTAGTCAAGGGGTGAAGTTTAAGCCCATATCTGAAATACCACAAGAGTCACTCACCTAAGGGTCAGATCAGGAGGACAAGTGTTCCAGGCCAAATGCATGATTAATATAAAGGGCCTGGTACAGGAATGAGCCTACAGCTTTAGCTTATTGCACAAAGGGCAGAGTGACTCCAGAGAATGTCAGATTTTGTAAATCAGAGGAAGGAGTTTCTGTTTAATTCTAATTACTATGAGAAGTCAATGAGAGGGTTTTTAAGCAGTAATGAAGTGGGTTTTGGGCTATGATGCAGAAGACAGTATGGACAGGAGTAGAGGTAAGAAGGTAAGACTATTTCAGTGATCTGGATAAATGATGAGAGTAGCTTGCACCAGGGCCTTCAGAGAGGTAGGCAAATTTGGTTTATCATTTTTGAGAAATAGCTTATGGATGTGCTAATGAATTGAATAGATGGAATGAAGAAAAGGGAATAAGGATAACACCTAGATCTTTGTCATGGAAGTGCTGTTGAGATGAGGAGAGAGGAGAAAAAAGGTGAAGGGGTGTGCAGCTGACCGTTTTGACTATATGCATCTGGAGAAGTTGGATTATCTATCATGTGATAATGTCAAGGAAGCAGTTGGATGTGCATGTCTGGAGCTCTAGCAGGATCAGTGCCAAAGACGGATGTTTGGTATTTGCAGAATGTAGGTTGTGGTAAACTACTGAGCAGAAGGAAGCACCTGTAGGGCACTAAGATGAAGATGAGCAGGGACCAAGGTAGAGTCCAGGGCACTCCTGGGGGAAACCTGTAGCAGAAGACGCCGGGAAGGAAAGGTGGTAAGATAGAGCTACACCAGAGGTGTATGGAACCACAAAGCCTACAGTGGAAGGGAAGAGACCAGCTGTTTAGTGCTGCAGAGCAGTGGTGAAAACTAAGAGCAGAGGAAGGAGTACAGCTGACATTGTCTTTCTGGACCCAGAAAAACAAAATTGAAAAGTAAGTTCTACCAAATCCCTCTTTTCTAGTCCACATTTTACAAATTCTTTATTTACGGTACTTCAGAGGTAGCTTAGATCATTATAATTCAGTATTGGTTTTTAAGGCAAATTATAAATTTCAGTATGGATGACATACAAAGTAATTTTCAAGGTATATTATAATTGTAAAGGTGAAAACCATTTTAACATAAGCAAATGTGCATATTTGACTTGACATTTTTGTATGGGAGATGATATGCATCCTTTGTTCATTCAAGAAATACTTAATGACAACCTACTTCATGGAAAACATTGTAATAGGCACAGGAACTGCAAGAACTTTGTGGCCACCATGGGTGACACATACCATGCCTTTTGTGGTAGACACTCTTCTAGTTACTTTAATGTATAATTCATTTCCTCCTCATAACAAGCCTACAAAGTAGTTACTGTGATTTTCCCCTTTCACACATGAGAATGTTAAGATAATGATGTTTGAGGGTTAGAAAGTGACATGTCATGAGAGCAATGCAGTTAAACTTCAGATGTCTGTATTCTCCTCTGTTGGTGTTGATAATGAGGAGCTGGCGACTGTTGTCAGATTTGAGAATGTTAAAATAGAAGTTCTAAAATACCTCCTTAAACCAAATCTAAATAGTGCTGTCTACCATCCATTCTCTGAGGTCATTAAGGTAAGGTAAGTCACTGTGGCTAATGAGTAAGTTGTTCATCTTAGCAGCTTCCACATGTGTCCACCCTTTAGGAACCTCAGCTCTGCAGGGGAGGAAGCACGGAAACAAATGCGATCCTGTGAGGGGCTGGTGGACTCACTACTATATGTGATCCACACGTGTGTAAACACATCTGATTACGACAGCAAGGTGAGTACCTGCCTGACCCTGTGAACACCTGGCCCAATGGCAGGTGAAATCTGCCTAGTGCCATTATTTGCATGCCATCAATTCTCTGAAATTCTAGAGTCGCTGCTCCTCTTAAGGCTATATTCCAGGTCAAAGGCAAGTTCCTCTAAAAATTACAAGTTGATAGGGACATAGCAACTTAAGAAAATACCCATAGAACCATCAAAATAAAGTGACTAAGTGTGATAAGGGACCTAGAGCACTACCATCTTCCTCTGGGGTTCTCCAAGGCTCATTCTCCTGGTGATTGACCCTGCTGCTGTTTCTTCCAGTTCTGTGTGCCCTACTCCTAGATTCATCTCTATGTGAGTGTTTACTGAGTAAAAGCTCCAAGTCATCATACCCCACCCTCTCTGCTCTTCTTGCCCAAAGTGGTCCACAACCCACATCCTGAGCACCCACTTTTAAGGTACCTCTTCATGTCCTTTAGGCAAATGCTGAACTTGATTTCAGATACTCTAAATTGAAGTGATAATTAGCTTCCCAATTAGACATGTGATACAGCTTTTAAGGAACAAAGACCATGTGCAGAAGACAAGATGCCAAGAGAAAGATCAGTGAGCATCCTTCAGAGGAAGGGGAGGGGGGAGATGGGATACACAGGAGGAGGCAGACATGGGACTTGGGGCCAGGGGCTGTCCCCCAGGCAGAGAGGTGGTGGCACTGTCATCTACTGAATATCTGCAGTGGTGAGTGGAGAGGAGTTGTGGCTCTGTGGGTACAGTGTAGCACTACAGCAGCCCTCATGCAGATGTACTGGGCCAGAGCTTTGTGCATTTTAAGCAGCATAAAATCAGATCCTTGGTTGTACTGAAGATGGCTGCACCCTGTCATTTGGGTATCCCACAAAAACTCTAGAACCACAATTTGTTTTTATGGATTGTTTGAGGTTCCTATAAATGAAGAAGTAATTCCTTCATATTCTCCATTCATTTCCTAGGAGGGTATTCAGTACAGAGCATTTGATGTGGTATTTTTAATTCTGTTCCATGTTGGGTTTCAGACAGTAGAGAACTGTGTGTGCACCCTGAGAAACCTGTCCTATCGGCTGGAGCTGGAGGTCCCTCAGGCCCGGCTGTTAGGGCTGAATGAGCTGGATGACTTGCTAGGAAAAGAGTCACCCAGCAAAGACTCTGAGCCAAGCTGCTGGGGGAAGAAGAAGAAAAAGAAAAAGAGGACTCCACAAGAGGATCAAGTTAGTATTTTATTTAATATGTAACTCTAAGGTTTTCTGGGAGTGAGAAATCATGCATTTGGCAAAACCAAAAAACGCTGAGCCCAGCAAAGATGAATGTTCTCAAGGGTTGAAGATCATTGTCATTTTGCTTCCACTTTAGAGTGTGCTGTTTGTCTTTCAGTGGGATGGAGTTGGCCCTATCCCAGGACTGTCCAAGTCCCCCAAAGGGGTTGAGATGCTATGGCATCCGTCAGTGGTAAAACCATATCTGACTCTTCTAGCAGAAAGTTCCAATCCAGCCACCTTGGAAGGCTCTGCTGGATCTCTCCAGAACCTCTCTGCTGGCAACTGGAAGGTAGGCTGTTTTCTCTTTGTCTGTACTTGTTTCTGTCTTTGCAATTGGGTCTGTGAAAGGGTGGTGGTGAAAGGGACATGTTCAGAGTTTGTCTATGAAAGGGAGAGAGGGGGGAAAGGGGGATAAGCAGTTGCTCTGGGATTCAAAGATGAATATGATGTAATCCCTCCCTGTGAGAATCTGAAGGCTAGTGAACAAAACATACCTTGGCAGTACAGGATCAAGTATATAGGATCTGGGCTGTGGGATCTTGAAAGAGGACACCCAGGGCAGCCCAGTGGGGAGGAAGGATGTAGAAGAAGGGTGCACAGAAGTGGGTGGCTTCCTCCAGGTCAGTGCTCTCAGACCAAATTTCTGAAGATAAGTAAAACTAAGCCAGCAGAGTCTAAGGTTGGGGTGTAGAAGGGATGATGCAGATAAAGAGAATAAAAAGAATTTGGCTTTTGGTGAGGGAAGGTCAGTGTGGGTCCAGACTGCAGATGACCACTGAGGCCAAGAGGATGGGACGTGGAATGAAGCCATATGTCGTGTTCAGGCTTGAAAGATAAGCTTGTGGAGTAGGACCTGACCTACAGACAAGTGGGCACTGAAAGGGTTTAAGCACATGAGTGACAAAGAGGCTGATGTGGACCCTTGGATTGCTTCTGTGGCTGGGCAGAAGATGAAACTGAGGAAGAGTAGAGGCTGAATTTCCCTTTGGGAGCCAGTGCACTATCCAGTTGAGAGATTGGATGCTGAGGCCACGCAATGCCGTGGGGAAGAAGATAGGAACTCTCTCTGGTCCTCTCTCACAGCTGACACAGTGTACAGATGTCTAGTACATCTGTACTAGATGCATCCATGTCTCCTTCATTTATAACTATGAAGATTGAAGGTGGTTTCCAGTTGTTACCACTATAAGAAAATTCTCAAAACTTTTTAAATGTTATCTGGCAACTTCCCAGACAGCCCTTGTATGAAACATTTTCAACCTCTAGAAACTTTATGAGAAGTGTGTTTTAACAGTTACTATAATGCTTATTTTGGCACCACCCAAAATGAGAAACTTTTAAGCACTGCAGCATGACAGTGAAAACCACTGATAGGCCTGCATATGGTTTGTTTTATGTGGTCTAGTGCTAGCAAAGCTAATGTAGTTTTTTTGTTGTTGTTCCTAACTAAAGTGCTAATAACTTAGTACTTAGCTCTAGCTCTGAATCCTTGTCCCTCTACTGCTAAGCTAAGGCCTAGGATCTCTCTGTCGTCAGATTCTTCATTTGTGAAATGGAGGTTGTATTAGTATCTCCTTATGAGGTGGTTGGGAAGATTAAATGAAATCTAAATTTGGAAGTCTGAGGACATTTCATAGAGCATAAATATGCTCTGTTATGGACCAGTGTTCACATCATCTTTTGTGACCAAAGGACCCTTTGATGATAATAAAAATGACAATAATTAAGATACATGATATTTAAGTTTTTTAGTTTCTGGAATCATTTAGTGAATGAAAATCAGATGATAGGTTCATTTAAAATATGAACATTATACTCTTAAGTGATTTCAGAGTATTCAGAAGTACTCAAGGTATTTCAAAATATTCATAGTTTTCTTAGAATTCACTAAAAAACAGGATAATCATGGCCGCACATGTTATCAAGTCAGAGCTATCTGGGGAGCAGTGATGAGTAGTCTAGGAAGGGCTAGGCTGTGCTGGACTAGGCTGGCCTGGGCTGAGCTGAGCTTGTCAGTCTTCACATGGGACAGAAAGGTCGCAGTCCTGCAGGTTTCAGAGAAAAGTCGATCAAACTGCCTGAGTGCCCTACAGCAATCCATGTACTATATTTCACCCTGTAGATTTCGTTTGATTTAGAAAATAAGAGTGTCGTTTTTATATGAAAAATATTACTCAGATCTTTCAAAAGACTGGGTGCTCAATTACATATATTAATGTTCACACTAATACAAAGGGTGGCAGGTCTTTGTCCTCATGTCTGGGCCATGGCAGGAAAATATGAGATGTTCATGAGCAACATCTTTCAATTATTCTGATTTTAAAGGATGATTTGCATTGGTAAAAATGTCAATTAAAGCTTATAGCTCCAACAAGATTAAAGATCTATTTTCTAATGTTACCCTCTATTTATTTATTTATTTATTTTATTTATTTTGGTCCCTTCACTGATAACTTAGCATCCATTTCCAATTCTTATGGTTGCACAAACTGACTCACTGTACAGGGTTGTCTCATAGTCACAAAAGAATCTGGACTGTAAATTTTAAAAAAGGAAGCTGCTAACTACTCTTGAATGAGATGCATTTTGCACACAAATAAACTTTCTTTTTCACCAATGTGTATAAATTAAGATGCTCAGTGATTCTGGAGAATTCCCTTTCTTCAGAGGCAAGGGATTTTTTTTTTCAGGTAATCTCTGACAGGTTACTGAACTCTACTGTTTCAGGGACTACAGAAAAATTAATGACTTGATGGAGACAGGCTATCCTTTAACTTGAACTGATGAGTTATTCTCTCTGCAGTCCTACTAACAGCCTCTGAATCTGCCATAAAGCCAACTGCAAAGAAAACATATGATCTTTCCTTAATCATGTTTATGAGATAGAAAGTAATCATTGCCTTCTCTGTTCTACACAAAAGTATCTGACAGATGGTGGTTTGAGATCTTCAGGGTTTGGAATTTCTTTTTAAATCAGTCATCCCAGCCTATCTTTATCCCAAACTATGGTTTTCTCTTTTCTGGCACCACAGATTTAATCTTCAATTTGAAAGAAAATATTTATTGGTTCCAATTTTTGGAAATACCCTTTTTAGATTGCAGTAACATATCAGAGTGGAACTTTGTGTTGTATTACTTATTGCCTTATTTTGCTCACTAGTTTGCAGCATACATCCGGGCAGCTGTCCGAAAAGAAAAAGGGCTCCCCATCCTTGTAGAGCTTCTAAGGATGGATAATGATAGAGTTGTCTCTTCTGTGGCGACTGCCTTGAGGAATATGGCACTAGACGTTCGCAATAAGGAGCTCATAGGTATGTTTGGGGGATGAGGTAAGGTACAAAGAAGAACAAATACAATATTAACAAATCTTTTTGATTTATAAGTACATTACAGCTAAAATTATTTATAACTGAGGCCTAGTCCCCAGTTTCTTAGCATATTTAGGTCTCTTGCTTTGTGACCATTCTTTTTTAGCAGAAGGAAGGCTCATTAGTTACATACTGATTGGAGAAGATAAACTTTCAGAAAATCCAGAAATTCCATTTGTAGTTTACGACACTGATAGATTCGGTATCTCTATTTCCAAAGAAGTATATTTCCTGGGTGGCAACGACAAAAAATTCTCCCGTTTCAGCTTTTGTACTGATATCTACCAGTTCATCAATAGTATCATGTTCTAAATTGAGAAGAAAAGATAATAATTATATAAAATGCTTTACAGCTTTTCCCTCTTAGGTCCTTTGTAAATGCTCAACCCAGGGCAGAACCACTATCCCAAGGCCATTTCATCCCAGACAGGGTCAGAACTAGGGTGAGGTAAGCAAGGCCTCTAGGGCACAAAATTTTGGGAGGCCTTCACTCTTGGGTTCACGTTAGGGTAGGGTTGTCACAATCATGAAACCAAAAATGAAGCCTCATAAGTTTTGCACCCTAGACAACTTGCTTATCTCTAGGCATTGCCGTGTCCCAAGCAGGGTGTGGGGTAAAGGAAAGATCAGGGACCCTTCAGAAATCTGAGCTTCAATACTGGACCTGCTGCTCATGGGCCATGTATCTCAGCATGGCCTGTATTTCCCCACCCTGGCTCAATTCCTTCATCTGGTTTGGAAATGGAAGGAACTCTTCCTCAGCCAGACTCTGAAATGGGGCTGACAGTGCCTGCTGTTTTAACTGTGGGTTCACAATTACAGGAAATGAGAGAGGGGAAGGGTAGGCCTCTTACAACTAGCCAAGCTCCACAACAACCGCACAGCTGGTAACAAGAGAAAGAGGGGAAATGGGACTAGATCTTATGCAGATTTATATGACCCTAGATTCAACTCATTAAAATACATATACAACGAGAAAGAAGGCAAGGAAGAAGGAACAAGGACAATATTTACCTTAAAGAGTCTCTGTGAGGATTAAATGTGGTGAATTACAATGAAATCCCTTTTCAGAGTGCCTGGTAGAATTGCTGTTTTAAATTATCGCCCAGATTAACCTGTTCTTAACACACAGTTCCTTTAAGCCAAGTCATTACACACAGAGGAAGGGCGGTCTCCCCATGCCTTGTTCCTGGTACCTGATCCCATAGACGTGATGTAACTCTCAGTTCCCACATTTGAGAAAAATCTAAATAGATTTTTTTTAAGTTGTTTTTGTTACATCTATATTCTTTGAATTTCTTCTAAGAAGCATGTATAAATTTGGGGAGTTCCTAAGGCTAAAACATAAATTATCTTCCAAACCTGGGAGAAGACCAGGCATACAGGATCACTTTTTCTTAGAGCCCTGTAAAGATTCCTTTCTTATGAGACCTGAGCCCCCTCCTGGGTTTAGTATTTGGCTTTACCCAGCACTTCTGTTCCCAAGAACTATCCCATTCTTTGACTGCTTCACTCTCAAATCATGTTCAACACCAGCACTGGCTATGGACACTCTTTTGAGGGCTATTTTCCACCAAAAAGAAAAGAAAAACAAAGGAAGGGAGCAAGGAAGAAAGAAAGGTTGGTTTTTAGTACTTCTCCAAAGTGACTTTACACTCAGCTGAATTGGAGCCACCCCTTCATCTGGAGCTTCAGGATTTGAAGGGATGCTGACCTCACTCATAGGCAGAGGGAACCAAGCCTCGGGAGTACAATTTAAAGTTCTAATATGCAAAATGACAAATTACATGTCAGGTACCTCTTGGTCATTTGTGAGTATTCAAAATCACCAGCGCTCACTTATCATCTGTGCTGAAACACCATATTTGTCTTCAAAAACAGTGTCATCACTGTTTTTCCAGTCTTCTTAACAAGGTTTGCTGAGAGTAAGCCAGAGCTTCCCTTGGACATGCAGGAAATTATACAGCCTGTAGTTAGGGTCTGTTTGCTACTGCTTACAACTGTATACAAATAGGTCTTTGATGAGAACTCCACTTAGTATCCACTCAGTTAATTACGCCTAAGAAAATATTTACTTGAGCTTTAGTTAATTTCTTTTGTTTGTAGTGCATTTTTTCCAGTTTATCAGTTGGTAACTGAAACTGAAAAAGCTAGAGATAATCTTTTTAGAGAGGAGTAAGAAATATTCAGTGTTTATAAAGACTCCCACCACCTTGTCTTATCAAGTACTTTATTATTATTGCATTACTTCTAAGAGATAATATGCCTATAATTTTAAAAGCAAAGCTTTACTGGTATCTTCTTTAAGAAGGTAACATGTCGTTGGTACTGTGGTACCAACATGTATCTTCTTTAAGAAGGTAACATGTCGTTGGTACTGTGAGGGCACTGTTGATACACTCACAGTCAAAAACCGTGTGACTATACCCAGTTCACACACTGATACCCAGAAAGAGCTAATGAAAAGTATTGTTTGGAAGCCGTACTTGGTCCAAAATCTCAAAGATCAGTTTTTTAAAGCTTTAAGACAAAACTGAGGTATTTTTGATGCATTGGAGTTCAATCAAGAATAAAATTTGCTATTATAATCCATTCTTACACACTATTACTGAAAATAGTTTAGCTAAAGCAACTTGGTTAAACTATTCAGTTTTATACATTGATTTCTATTTCTTTCACCATGTGATAATAAGTTTAATAAACCAGTTATTTCTTCAAGTGACGTGTCAGTTCATGTTAATTTTTCCCTTGAAATTACATTTGTGCTTTTCTTTGCTGTGGGTTTTGATCCCCACCCCCCGCTCTGTTAATGTCTCTTTTGAGGTTTTATTTTTAAGAGCCTACATACTATCAGGATTTTCCACAATGAAATCTGATACCTTTTGAAAGTAGAATTTAGTGTTTTGCATTTGACAGGTAAATACGCCATGCGAGACCTGGTCAACCGGCTTCCGGGTGGCAATGGCCCCAGCATACTGTCTGACGAGACCATGGCGGCCATCTGCTGCGCGCTGCATGAGGTCACCAGCAAAAACATGGAGAATGCCAAAGCCCTGGCTGACTCTGGAGGCATAGAGAAGCTGGTGAACATAACCAAAGGCAGGGGAGACAGGCAAGTGTGCAGCAAGGTGGTGCACATGCAAGACTCTGTGATAAGGGCCTTTGTGGAGGATATGTTTCCTCCTGGAAAGGATTCCTTCCTGTGTTTCGTACGTGCTGATAAGCTAAGCAAGCACTGGTAGTTAAAACTTGTAATGTTGGGAGAGGTATTTTCTGATATGTGGCCTTTTTCCACTTTTTTACTTTATTAAACCATCCCTCGCTCCTACACTATTTTCCATCTCTGTTTTAGTCTGCTCAAGCTGCTATAACAAAATGTCATGAACTGGGTAGCTTTAAGCAACAGAAACTTTTTCTCACAATTGTGGAAGCTGAAAGTTCAAGATCAAGGCACTAGCAGAATCGGTATCATGTGAAGGCCCCAGGTTTACAGATGGTGCCTTTTAGCTGTATCCTCACAAGATAGAGAGGTGAGAGTCTCTCTTGGGCCTCTTTTCTGCTTTCTAACACTATGAAATTGGAGTTAGGACCTGAATATATAAATTTAGGGGAGACACAAACATTCAGACTATAGCAGTCTCTAAAGGCACAATTGTTCATATCAACTCCTAGAAGAATCAGAAATGCCATGATGAGGAAAATCAGGGAGGGTCCCTGTGCCTTGGGCTCTCCTCTGAGATTGAGGGCCTGTTCTATAAGAACACTTTCAATCCTCACTTCTGAGGTTGATGCTACTGCCATGCACCCAGAAAGCATGAAAACCACCACTGTGCAATAGGGTCTGCTGTGTGGTCTCAGGATGTGCCCTGGGCTTTGTCACACATATCCCTTTGCTTCTGGATGACACTGACTGATGAAAAAGCACAAATAGGAAATAGAGAATCAATAGCAAAAATAGAAGGGCTCTTGTCATGGAGCTACAACAGGGATGATTTTGCCTTAGCATCAAATCAATGAAATAGTAAGCAAGGATGCTTAATGCCTTCTCAAAGAAACAGGACAGCAGACACCCTGCACCATGGGAAAATGTTACCTCTCTCCCAACCCTCCACCCTTACCCTCTTTATTCTCTTCCTAGCACTAATTTTCCGGATGTGTGACTTACAACTTCCTCTAGTATCCAACTCCTCCAGTAGCAGGAGTTTGCCCTTTTATTCACTGCTGTATCCTAACAACTAGAACAAATCTTGGCCCCTAATAGATGTTCAGGGAATGCTTATGAATTAGCTGAATGACAGTACTGCAACTCACACACTATCTCACCTAGTCTTTCACCTTATACTTTTGAAGGAATTTCTAAAATTGAAGAATAATGTAGCAAATCATATTCTTGCCCCCTAGAAGCTCCATTTGACATATACAATATTGCCTTTCAGTCCTTTTATTGCATTAGTAACAAATGCATACAATCTCCTTGTTACTTTAAAGAAAATGAAACTATAGATAGAGCTGAGGTCCCATTCCATAGACACCCCCATTACTGGGGTAACCATAATCACTTTAGGTCCTCTTAAATTTTCATTAACCAACCCACATAACAAGAGACTGTAGAAATGTTTCACCAGGCCAAACTTTTGCATACTAAAAATATATATATATATATATGACCCAGTCCAATCTTTTTTCTCAAAACAAAAGATCCAGAAAGTCCTGGGCCAGATCAAGTAGCTGTCTACCGCACACTTAACTTTCCTAATTCTTCCACCCAGTATTTGTTGCCTACCTGCTGTATGCCAGGCACTATTCTCAGTGCTATAAGCCCAGCAAAAATAAGCTCATCACACAATTCCACCTCAGGGTACTTACATTCCACACAAGGTACTGAGTAAGTAACAGCACACAGAGCTAGATGCACTTGGGATAGGGCCAATAATAAAATTAGAGAAGGTAGACAGATCATGCAGGGGACAGAGGACATGACCAAGGAGTGCCTTTGGAGCACATATATGGCGGGGGAAGGGGGTTGTGCTACTCTCTAGGGGAGGAGCATTCAGACAGAAGGGACAACAAGTGAGAGGGACCTGCAATGGGAGAGGAACAGTGGGAAGCTGGTGGGAATGGAGCAGTGCTGATGTGGGGAGAGGAGGAAAAGTCAGAGAAGCAATAGCAGGACTCTACAGGTCAGTGCAAAGACTTTGTCTTAAACTCTCAGTAAAACTGAAGCCTTGGAAATTATTTAATAGAGGAGGGCCATGGATCAAAGTGACCTGAGCCCTCCCCACTAGGGGAGTCCACAGGGGCAGCAGCTGAGGTGGTAAAGAAGGTGCTGAAAGGTGGATTAGTGAGCAGCAACAGAAGAGAAGGGTGTCATGGATGACTCCAAAGTCTTTGGCAAAAGAGACTCCAAAGTGGAACTTCCACTTACTGAGATGGGGAGACCCTCAGAGGGAAAAGCAGGAGTTTGCTCTGGACTTGTTATATTTGAGATATCTGTTAGTCATACGGGTTGAGTATGTGGTAGACTATATGGGATGAGTACAAGGTTGAAGGGAGTTAACAGTGTCTCAATGGCTTATTTAGAGAAGTGAAGCAGAATGCGTTCACACAGCAAATAAGTCCAGGAAAGAGTAGCCAGAGCATTGTGAAGAAAATGAGGGGCAAGTGGCATCTCAGAAGCCAGGTAAAAGAGATACTGCAAAAGTGAGCAAGGGCAGATGTTCCTGCTTGGTCAGACAGGATGAGGACTGACACCTTACCATTAGCCATAACAACATGGGGGGCATAGATTTAAGAGAAGATAGGATAAGTGAAATTGGAGAGGTGAATGCATAATTCTTTCAAGCAAATGTCTGCAGAGGGGAGTAGATGAACTTCCTTGCTTTTCTCAGGATTGGGTTTCTGCTCCTAGAATTTGCCTGAAAATAGATAGTCTTTCTGTATCAAGGTAGAGACAGGCCTGGTCCTGCCTTGCTAAGTGCTATTGCTAGAAGTGTGAAATCTGCCTTTCAGACCTCTGTTCTGGCTGTCACATAAAAACAGGGAGATATGGGCTGGAGGCATGGCTCAAGTGGTAGAGCTCTTGCATAGTAAGCACAAGGCCCTGAGTTCAAAAGCCCAGTACCACATTAAAAAAAAAGGGAGATAAACAACAGCAGTGGCAGAACCCAGCTGAGAATGGGATGGCTATAAGCTGAGAGCCCTGCTTCTCAGAATCTGTTTTCCAGAAGCCATCTTGGGTACCTGAGATTTCATCTCTGTTCACTTCTTTAAGGTATTAAGGTATTAACCTTGTTATATGATCCATTTTGGAAATAAAAAAGCTTTGAGCTGGTTGGTTTTGTCTACTCTTAACTAGTTAAGAGCACTAAGAAAATGGGATAGAGGTGGTGGTGGATGTAGACAGGCCCCACCTGGACCAGTGCCTGTGAAGCCCCTGAATATGCCTAGACTTCATCCTCACCTAAGCCCTCAGATCCTTAGCAGCCTGCATTGTCATGTTAGGGCCAAAGAACTAGTTGACAGCCTACACACTTCTCTCTTCTCTCTTAGCTCTACTAGTTTAATTGGGAAGATAAGGAGATGAGGAAATCAGATTTTTGATCTGGTATATGCATTTGGCCAATTTGGGAAGGTCTCAGACACAGGATGTGTGGTCATGGTCACATTAATCCCATAGGCCCAGGGAGTCTCATGAGCCCAACAGCCCTTGGTAGAGATGTGGAGGGAGATTGGGGCTGACAACTAAAGAGGTGACGTGAGGGCATCACTTTGATTCTTGACCCGTCTAGCCAGTCCTGAACTTGATGAACTCACAGGCACACCTGGTAGTGTCTCCCAGCAGCAGCCTGTGTCCCTCTGGTCCTGAGGGCAATGGCTTCTTGGCCACTGGTTTGCAGAGCCTGAGGCCATGCTGCCCACTTTCATTAATACCTGTACTCTCTCCCTAGATCCTCTCTGAAAGTGGTGAAGGCGGCAGCCCAGGTCTTGAATACATTATGGCAATATCGGGACCTCCGGAGCATTTACAAAAAGGTAACCTACAAGAATAGCTCTAGCATAATTAGCTTTCATCACAGCACACATTCCTAATCACTTATTGTAATGAAATGTCATTATTCATTTTGAGAGGTTTCTTTTTCTCTTTTAACTCCACAGGATGGGTGGAATCAGAACCATTTTATTACACCTGTGTCAACGTTAGAGCGAGACCGATTCAAATCACATCCTTCCTTATCCACCACCAACCAACAGATGTCACCCATCATTCAGTCAGGTCAGTGGGCAAACACCATTCCTTTAAAAGAACATTTTTGTGATAGAACATTGTTTTCCCACCAGAGAAGACTGAACATGGGCTGACTAAGCCTATCATTTCTAATACTACACATCAAGCTAGCACCTTCTTTGGGAATTACATGCTGTTGTAAACAATAAACCCACTTTCCTCTTACATTTGAAAAGTGTATACAGTTTACGTCAGCTGTGGTACATGAACAAATCCCAGAGACAGGGACACACACACTTAGTTCTGCCTTACTAGGAAAGGGGCCCTGGGATCTGCATTTGGCCAGCTGAAGAGGTAACTGGTTATGGGAGACTTGGGGCTACACTTTGAAACACACTAGTTGATGCCTAGAAATAGATCCACTGCCTCCCAGCTGACCGAAAATTTGGAATCGCTTCCAAAGTAACTTTTGAGGCTCTTTCCCTTGAAACTTCTTAGGAACGGAGTCCATGAAATTAGACACTTAAGAGATGCAGCTTGAAGAGCCGCCTTCTTCCCAATGAAACCTCCTGATCCCCTGACTGTGTTGTAGAGCCCGGGTGTCCACAGCTATGGGAACAGACCTCACAGGGTGGCTTTGTAGGAATTCCCTTCGATTTTTAGGTTGCTAATCTTGATAACTGAGCCACCTATCTCTTTGTAGTTTTCAACTTGGTGGAAAGAATGTTTTGAGATTCAGTCTAAATTTTTTCACATGTAAAAGCAGATAATTACTACCAAGTCAATCCTGTAAATTTAATTCTTAACTAAATGAAAGAGGAAAATTAAGAGTTCTTTTATTTGGCTTTAAATCAAGCATTCTGACATACATGTATATTTTCTGTTGTAGTCAGTGGTCCTGCTGCTGACAGTCTTATTGCTCATGTGGACAAATATGGATAAAAAGACTAAGATACATGCCCCATGGTTCTTGCCACATAATTGGTTGTCCCCAGCTATGCTAGGAAATTTTTTTAACATTATCTGCACCCCCCATATACGGTGAATATTTATATTTTAGTTTTAAAATTATGAGTTGTTTTCTTCAGCGAGACCAATGCCTAGCTTTTAACATACTTGCTGAGCCCATTACTGTCATCTTTTTACAAAAATGCTCAGAATCCCTTAGGGACTTAGGAATAAGGATGCCAGAGGAACCAAGAGATTTGGCTACTTCACAGTGCATGTGTACAAGCAAAGAATCATTTCAGACAGATTAGCACATACTTCCTAAGCAAGGAACCTGTTTCACAGACCACTTAAACATACTTGCTGGAAATATTGGTGACACCTGTCCCAGTTCCTAGGTAACCCATTGCATTCTATTAAGAGATGGAGTATATATCACTCTGGTTTCTTCAGTTATTCTAAGGACTGACCATCTAGCTCTTAGCACTAGTGTGAGATGTATATGCAGGCAGATCTGCCTTCTTAGTAGTATAATTGTGGGAAGCAAGCCGGTCTTTTCTGTCCTACCACCTTCCAGAAAGTGAACAAGAGGAGTAGCACATAGCTACTGCCTGTGCCTGCTCACCCATGTGCAGCACCAGCATCCCTGTGTCAGTGAAGTGACCACACAGGAAAAGTACTTCAATGTCAGTTTCCTCTGAAGACATAAGGGCATGCCAAACCACTGGGGCCAAGGTTGAGGGGGGCTGTTGGTGTCAAGTGCATCAAGTATTGTAATTTACTTTCCTGAAAGCCAGATTTTTTATGAGAAAAGGAACATATGTAAAGTGTTTCTGTCTTCCTTCTGGGCAAAAACATGCAAAAAGACACCTTTGGGTAGATCTGTCATTATTAGATATTTGACCCAAGCTGGGCTAAGAAGTCTCCTGGGCCTCGTGAGGCCAGGGCTTAGCACCATGAGCCAGGCTTTTGAGTCTGCGTGATTTCCCTGACAACAGATCACCATAAAGAGAATTGTAAATTGTATAGACTGGACACGCAATCAAACACATTGGAAGATGAAGATATTTTTTAAATAATTAGAAATCAAAACATACCATAAAACCTTTTTACTAAACAGCTGTACATAAAGGATAATAGTTGTTTTACAAGCAACTAAACTGAAATCACTAAATAGCATATACAGCTCTTACATGGCTGGTAAGTTACCCCACTCACTCAGTTTCCAAGGGCTGGCAAAGCTGTGTGACCTGCACTGGGCCTCTGCAGCTGGGCACTCACTAACCATGAGAAGCAAGCCCAGGTGTTGCTTCCCTTGCCAGGACATACAGTTGTGAGCCTGCATGGTGTGTTCCGGGTCTTAGGGTCTGGCTGCTCCTCAATTCCTAGCACCTCAGAGCTGACCTTTAGCACCAGCTATGTGAAGTTTCTGAGTGACCTTTGTTTTGCTGGAGAGGATTTCCAGAAACACTGACAGTCTGCTTTCTCTCTCTTCCCCTCTTTCTCTCTCCCTCCGCCTTCGCCTCTTGTTCAGTCGGCAGCACCTCTTCCTCACCAGCACTGTTAGGAATCAGAGACCCTCGCTCTGAATACGATAGGAGTCAGCCACCTATGCAGTATTACAATAGCCAAGGGGATGCCACACATAAAGGCCTGTACCCTGGTAAGATGCCAGTTGGGTGTGTGATCCAATACCTGGAAAAGCCACATTCTGGGCTCTCCGCCAGTGTCCTGGGAAGTAGCCTGTGCTTGTATTGAGATGGTCCCCCAGCAGCAAGCCATGTTCCTATCTCTTCTTCCCTACTTCCAGAATTGTTGCCTTTTCTACTTGTTTTAAACATATCAAGCTAATATAATTATATAGTGACCATGATTAAAAAGAGGGCTGGATCCAGATGAAAGATCATTTCTGGCAAGCCCAGGAGCCAGCCCCTCTGCTGTTTCCCCTCCCTTATAAAACAGTCCCTCTCTGTGTTCTTCATGCATCAGACCCCTGGGCTTCATGTGGCTTTGCAGGGCTGTATTTTCTAGACTGGTTCATCTCCAAGTTCAAACCAGAGAAGGGCAGTCAATTCCATTTGCATTTTCATGGAAAAGAGTGAATGAATTGAAGAATGCCAAGTGATTCTCCTCAGAGTGTTTATTTTTTAAGAATAACAAAGGTGTTACATAGTGTTAATATTTTTATATCCTATCCAGAAAGATGTGTATAAAAATTATTTAAAGGGCACCAGCCCAAAGAGTTACCAAGATTTCATATTGTCACCATTCTCAACTACATGGCAAATTATAACTACTCCAGAGGTTTCAAATAAATGAGCGGGAACTACCCTCCAAAAAAGTAGTCTTTCCTCAGAAAACCTATTTATTAAAAAGAAATAAAATAGAAGCTGGTGGCAACTTAACTACTGCTGGGGGAACAGTCTCAGTTGTTCTGTTGTCTTTGAAACTGATTTCACAGGACTGTTTACTAATCAACTATTGTTACCATGGCAATTAATAACTCAGAAAATTGCAGATGCTTCATTTCAAATGCCCTGCTCTGTACAGAAGGAAATGCATGTACAAACTGAAGTGCCTCACTGCTTCAGATGTGCAGCAGCCTGCTTTATTTTAAAGACCACCTCTTTAGCATGCACGCCCTCTGTAATCTCCTTTTTTTGCTTCAATAAACTAATCTGCCTCAAATATGTTTCTTTTTCCTCATTGAGAAAAAAAAAATCTTTGCTAGCCTTAATATTAATAGAAGGTTGACTTGTGACATCAGTAGTATTCTAATATGGACTCTTAAAACAATTATCTAATTGCCAAGTTCTCATCATTTCACAACCTACTTAAAGATGGAAGACACAAAACTATGCCTCCATGTGGCCCCACTGCTAAGAATATGCCTGTGCCTGCTCTTCATAGAGTCCAGGATTCTATGTTTTGAAGGGAAATCATTCTAATACTGTATTTTCCATCTCTCTGATCCACACTGTAGCTCAGAACCCTGAAAGAGTGGTGTTCCTTGGCTCAAGGAGCTGTGCTGCTGCTCAGAGCCAGCCAGAGAAATCCCCCAAAGTCTAAACGGAGCTTGAGAAGGACCTCTGTTGGATGAGCTATGTACTAATGCTTTTTGCTAAAACACACATGGCCTATTTTTGCTTTTAATCCTGATCATCCCCAGGGTACACAGCAGCCAGCCAGATCTAGGGAGCCCAGGCTGCTTCTCTTCACTCTGCACTGGCTCTGGGGAAGGCAGGCCCAGTTGGGAACAACCCTACTGCAGGGACATCACACAGCCTAATAGATCAGAGTAATGACCACTAGTTTTAATTTCATAAAATATTTTCTTACAGGCTCCAGCAAACCTTCACCAATTTACATCAGTTCCTATTCCTCACCAGCAAGAGAACAAAATAGACGGCTACAGGTGAATTTGCAATATCATTTGTACAGAAGGCCGATTAGCAGTCACACAGTAAGGGGTCCACGTCGATTGACTTCTCAGAGCTGGGCCAACACAGCAGGGCCCAAGGAGCCTCCCTGATCTTCACTCCTCAGAAACGCACCCATGGTTTAAACACAGCACTTCCACGGTAGTCTCATGTTCTCCAATAGCCATTGGTGCTGCTGAGACCACATACCATTGATGGGAACCGCTGAGAAGTCTTTAATGCATGTTTTATACCCAACAATATCCCTTTACCACTCTTTTTTGATCCCTGTTAAGTTCTAAAATCTCTTCTGTCTCCTGGGTGAGGAAAGGTTGGTAAGCGCACTTCACTTTCTCATCTGATTGTTCTCTCTCTCTCACCTCATTGTTCTGTTTTCCATAGACCATTCTCCATCCTCATGACTTCCTCCCTGTCCAGGCTCCATGATTTAAATACCCTGAGGTTTTGGTCTTGAGGTCAGAGCTGTTCATTTCAGAGGTCAAAGTGGACTTGGCCCCTGATGCACTGCAGCACACTATAATGATGGGGTTGTGTGTATGTATCGAGCCCAGCTTTCAGAGGGGCCTATAATCAGTTTCAAGACCTTCCTGAAGCCGTGGTCCATTATGTCTCCTCTTTCCAATAACAAAGCAATTAGAGTTTCCTAAGACAAGACTGTTCTGTCCTTCAGATAGGCCCCTCTCCACTCCACCATCTTTCTATGTAAATGGGAGGAAAAGAACTTTCACAAATACTCATAATTTATGTTTTGGGTTTTTGGTTTTTTTGGGTTTTTTTTAAGATAGGGTCTCACAATGTTTTGAACTTGTGATCTCAAACTGTTCTATCTTATACTTCCAAATAGCTAGAGTACAGGCACACACCTCCACACCCAGCTTATGCTGGTAATTTTTTTAGTCAAAAAAAAAAACAGGCTCAGAATCATAACTTTACCTTAAAAAAAGAAGGTAGAATTAGTTCTGGTAGAGTTGAACTCTGAAATCCTTCCAATGTTAGAAGGAATTTAGTTCCAGAACATGGTGCTGAATTTGTTACATCTCACTAAGGGTATTTGGGCATGATAAAGAATACAGACAAGAACCATGAGAATTTGGAGAAGTCAATTTGAGGTCAAAGCTAAGGACAAAAGGAAATGGGGGGATGTGCCTTAATACGAATGCACACGTGGGCATCCTCCTTGCTTTCTTCAGATGTATTTGGTAGCCCTGACCTGGGGAAGTCTGGGATTATATTTGCTCGCTTATCTCTTCTAATTTTAGTACTCTCCCGCCTTAAGATTGCTTCCAAAAGGTGATTGTTGTTTATCAAGCCACACATGTTCTTTTAAATTAAGAGATAGATTCAGTCTTCATCTCTGAGGTAAATATTTTAAAAGGAGAGTCTACAATTAAGCAATTATCTGAGGCCAAAAATCTGGCCCCCAACTAAATCCATTCTTAGTTCAAGGTTCCCTGTGTAAAAGCAAAAAATCAAGGCCATCCTCTGATTTGGGCTACAGGTAGCAGGCCAGTTCACAGTAGGACACAGAGCAGGGCTTCCAATAAGAGGGAAGGTAGCAAGCAGCCATCTTCCCCTGAGATCCTGGGCTCTCCTGAAACACTGACTTCTAGAGGCCTTTACGACAAGACTTGAGCAAACTAGGCCAGCCTGTGTGGAAACATAATTTAATATGCACCTGAAATAGCTTCTAACCTTAAGCCCACAAATAGTGCTTTGAAAATGTGAAGTAGGGAAGCCCACATTAATGCCGTTTATATGTGTTTTTTAAATTGCTTTCACTTATTTGCATCTCCATTTTGTCAACAGCATCAGCAGCTGTGTTATAGTCAAGGTGACTCCAACAGAAAGAACTTTGATGCATACAGATCATACTTGCAGTCTCCTCATAGCTATGAAGACCCTTATTTTGATGACCGAGTTCACTTTCCAGCTTCTACTGATTACTCGACACAGTATGGACTCAAGTCAACCACAAATTACATGGACTTTTATTCCACTAAACGACCTTCTTACAGAGCAGAACAGTATCCAGGGTCCCCAGACTCGTGGGTGTAGCAAAGGACCTCTTTCTTTCTAACCTTGTTTGGAGTGAGGTGAAAAGTCGTCTTGCTGATTGATGATGAAATGTGAAAGTGAAATGGAAGGAATGAGTGAAGAGCCTATTTTTTTTTCTTTTGAGGAATTTTCAGGGAAGTGAGGAAACCCTTGGGAGAGGACTTTCTAAGCTCTGTTTAGGTGTTAGATCTAATTACTTGTAGATTCTATAGTCTGGTGAAGGTGTGGGTGACGTGATGAGAGGCTTAAGAAATGGGTGAAATGAAATGGGATATGTGTAGGTCAAATCAAATTAAAGATGATTTTTTTAATGTGAATAAAGTTATGTTCTGATAGTTTGTACAGAGAAAAATAATAAAATGGATGCCCTTCATGTTTTATTGCTATTACTAAATGTCAAGATTGTATGCTATTATGTCTTGTAAATTTCTTTTGTTGGTGTAAATATGGAAATGCCACATTGGTTAAGTGCCATCATTTGTAATGCAGTGTGTCACTTGAAAAGAGATTTGAAGAAACTGACAGCTTAAAAATCAAATGGGGAACCCAAGGAACTGTTAACAATTAACAACAAGCTAAGATATCCTTTGTTTTCACAATAGTGTACGTTGGAAGCACAAAGTCCAGTCTGGTATAGCAGCGCCATGCCCATTCCCTGCCTCTTTCATAGGACACTTCACTGCCATTTTCTATGCACATGAAAGAAAAATAAATGTGGAAATTCCATCCTTGGAAGTGTGTTCTCTGTTCTTTTTTTAATTTTCTGAATGTAATATGGGAACGATTTAATGAACACTTTGTGAGAGGGACCAAATCAAAGAATGAAGCTATAAGTTTTAGCTTAGTATTTTTTATTTCTTGGGATTTATTTTAAATCTAATGAACTCTACAGTTTTATCATGGGTTTTTTGTTTTGTTTTATTTTTTTCAGGCTGATAGAGGTATTTAACACCACTTTTCACCTGAAAGAAATTACTCTGGCATTCGGTCTTAGCAAAGACTCCTTTTGGCGTCATTTTAAGAAATAATCCAGTAATTACATAAGAACAGTGGTTGGGCATTTACTTGGCACCAACTTAGTAAACCAAAAACAATTCTAAATAACTATTTTGATAAGCAATCCCGTGAGAAACAGTAGTTCCTGGATTAGAGTTGGAATAATGGGAAGCCCTACAGACATGGTAGGCAAGGATTCATGACAGCACCACACAGCATGGCTTGTGAGTTCTTTTCTCCATCTGTGGGGACATTATATGGGCCTCTACCCTCAGGAGGCCCAAAGTTTGAGGCCTTCCAAAATCTTGCCATTTCCTTCCCTGACCCCAATGCCTGGATCTTTCCTGGAAAGTCAGGAAATAACCCATATGGCCAGTCAACTCCAGAGGTGTTGACTTGGCTCAGTATATCCTCCAAGCATGAAAAAAGTCACAGATGAAAACATGTGAGTATAGAGAAAGAGACCTAAGAAAATGCAGCCTGAGATTAGGATCCAAGAAGTACAAGTGTCAGCAGAAAGATTGCTAACATCTGCAAATGGGGAGTTTTGGGGGTGCAGGATTTCAGAATGGACACCTAAGCCCTTCCACTTCATGCCCTGGCCAGGCTCAGGAGACAGCCCTCTATAGATGACAGAAGTCACTGGATTTTCCTGAGGAACTGATAACAGGACCATCAGCAATTTCCATTTGAGCTTTGAATCACTCACTGCCCTGAAGCCGAAGTTTTAGTGTCTGGGTTAAGGTGACTCACTAAAGGAGTCAGAAAAACAGAATCCGGAGCCTCCTGTGCTAGTTGACAGTAACTTTCTTTTAGTGACCTCATGATGACAGGCAGCATTTCCACAACTATCAAATTTGAATTGCAAAGAACTGACTTGGGCCTCCAATCAGACCTCCTAATAGAGCCAGAGAGAGGCCAGTAGATAAGGAATGGGTAGAGACCTGATGCCTGTGAAAGTTCATAACCTGCAACTAGAGAAAAGAAACTGCCAACTGAGCCTTTATGGAAACCTGCATCATTGATCAAAAAGTTGAGACCACTCCCTCCAAGCTGTGGCAATAAACTGCTAAAACAATATTGAGGTTTCCTTGCTGTCCTAATGACACCAAAGTAGCATACAGAATTTCAGCCCTCAAGAGGAGTCTGTGGTTCAGCATAGCCAGGGGCAGCCAACCTCCAGCCCATCCTGGAGGGTCAAGGTTGAATGGAGCCCATGTTGGGTGCTAGACCAGGGACCACTTAGAACCAGAGAGTGGGGTCCAGGTTTCAGTGCTCTTGAAAAAAACCCTGGATGACAATAGTGCAGTCAGGAAGGAGCCACTGGGCGGCATACCACATTCCCTTACTGCCATCCTGCCTGTGATAGGTAATTTAGCACTGGGGTTGGAGATACGGAGTTTGCCTAGGAGAGAGGAATGGATTTGTATGTTCCTGAGACTTTAAACTTGGAAAGTCAATGTGAGGGTTTCCCTGTGCTAGACTACATCTTTTGCAAAGCTATGACCTTTGAAGCCCAATGATATTAGAAATGACCACACAGTCCCCCAACTTCCCATCATTAGTCCCTAGTCGGTGTTTGGTCATTCACCTGATTTCTGGTTCTTGCACAGTGAGTACTCACTAAGAACAGCACATGCATTATCATTTAAACTTTACAACAAATGTGTGAGAGTTGTACTCAAATGCCATTTTTTAAAATCCTGAAGCAAACTGGAAGAATAATTTTGACAAACATCCCTCAGCCAGTGGGTGGTCAGGGCAGGAGTAGCACTGCACTCTAGAACACGATGCCAGTATTTTCCAAATTCAATAACTTGAATTCCAACTAGTATTTACCAAACATTGTTCATCACTGTCTTAAATTTACCAGATGAAACTTTCACAAACCTTAACAGTGAACATTGAACTATTAAAGATAAAAATGTCTGTGTATGTATACCACCAAAATTCATCTTATCTACTATCATTGGTGTTACGTGAACCTCACTGTAAGAAGCTTAGAGTTCCGTTCATGCTGGTTTATGATGATTTGGGATAGGCAGAGAGCGCCCCCTGTGAACCGCATCTATTATCATAGGCCCATTAAAACAAAATGTCTTACCAGGTGAGCCTCTCATTTTGAGGCCTCAGTAATCTCCTTAAAGGACCACTTGGGTAAATCTATCAGGTGATAGATAGTTTCCATGATCAAATTGTATTACAAAGGAAAACATATTTGAAAAAGCTGGTCATCACTGCTCACTTACTAGATTTTTTAAGTAGCATTATTTATAATAGTATTATTCATAGTAGTCAAAAACTAGAAACAACCCACTCTCCAAAAGAAGAATGAAGGACTGGCGGAGTGGCTCGGGTGGTAGAGTGCCGGTCTAGCAAGCGTAAGGTCCTGAGTTCAAACCCCAGTACAAAAGAAGAATGAAAAAGATTTTAAGCATGGATAGAGTTATGGTGTATTTCATGCAATGGAATACTAGACAACAACAAAAAGAGTGAGAGCAGATACAATGACACAAATGATCTCAAAAACATGTTGCTCAAAAAAAAAAAATGTTCTCAAAGAGCACATACTGAATGGCTGTGTTTCAAGAACAGGAAAATCTCATCTGTGGTGCTAGAAATCAGGACCATGCTGCCAGCAGAGGTGGGGGGACTGGCTAGAGAACTATTTGTGATGATGGAAATGTTCTCTATCTTGATTGGGGTGGCACTTACACAGGTGTATACATTTTTGAAAACATCAAAACATACACATAAAATCTGCAGTCACTGTATGTAAAATTTACTCCAATAAAAAAGCAGTTTATGCAAAATTCAGTAAGGATATATATTATAGCATTGTCCAAGACTCGGTTTTATAACTTACCATCAGTTATGATTAGTAGTCTCTTCTGAGTTGAGAAAAATCTAATTTATTTCAAATCTTAACAAAGTATTTCAAATCTTAAACAAAGTTTCTCCCACAAAAGGTTTTAGCACAGATTCCTTTGTAGTTATATACATGAGTCCATTTAGAAGCTGACAGCATTCCAAGTTAAGTTTAAAGAAAATTCTGGAAAATATGTATTTGTAAAGCCCTAAGTGGGAGTCTTTCTGGACAGGCTACAATGGTACAGATTAATGTGTGAGTTGATAATAAAGAAGTAAAACATAGGCTCATGTTTAAACCCATTGCCAAGAGAAAGAAGTGTGTACCCCTTTTACCTAATGATCCAAAGAGATGTGAAAATAAACACCTCATCTACCAGCACATCCCAAGCCTCAGGCAAGGAGTGTGGGAGCCAAGTCCTTTCAACAAAGTTCCAGAGAGGTGTTAGCAGAAAAACAAACAGGTCAGTGAAATCAGACGCAGAACACCTAATGGGTTTGTGGTGTTTTGTTTTTTTTAACTCTACAAACACAGGGCAGGCTTTGAAATCAAAGGAGAACTTTGCTGCAGGTCAAGGAAAACCTTACCAGAGAGGAAGCCAGCCATTTTAATTGGTGTGCAGCTGGAAAGGGAGGTGGAAGTCAGCAGAGGAGGCAAACAAGGTTGGGGTTCCAAGGGCAGCCTCCACTCCTGACGTTCAGCTGCCCTTTGCCTGTGCCAAGGGCTGGACTGGGCCTCAGAGCCAGGAAGGATACATCTCAGCTGAGATTCTTGTTCATTATGTCTCCCTTAGAAGGGCTTAGCTTTTGTCTGTAGTCTTATTTACCTTTGTGACAGTGGTATGCCTTTCACTCACGTGATGGCTTGACTCTACTCCCTGTCTTTATGAATGCCCTCATTCAGGACACTCCTTGAAGATTGCAGACACAAAAAGGGAATTTTTAGCAAGCAAATTATGACTTGAATTGTGTCGGTTTTAGTGCCTTTCCCTGTTTTTATGTCAGCAGCTTTGCTGGAAGCTGCTGACATGTCCCATAAGTGGCTGTTTGTGCCTATTGCTGTTGCCTAATTCTAACTCGAAATCACTAAAAAGCATTTTGTGCTGTCATAATCATTTACATAAGCCTTAACTAGTTCTTTACTATTAAACTCCCATGAATGGTTGGGGGAATTTTGACAAAGACTTAACGATGTGATGGGCTACTTTACCCTCCATTCGGTTCTTAGTGATTCCAGAACTGACCAATGTATTGTCTCAGAAAATAAAATTAAACATAGCTTATTGCTGGGTCAAAGGTGAAATTCTAAGGCCAGTGAGAAAATATCCAATTTTCCTTCAGAAATCTCTTTTAACTGTTAATTTACTCCCCAGAAGACAACAACTCCCCTGAAATGTGCTTTTATTTGTTGGCAATGAAATATAATGTGTCTGGCCTCCAATGCCTTCATAAGCTGCCATCCACTGAGTACTAATCTAATAAAATGTCTTCAGGGAGGATGAAGCCCCTCTAGAGTCTCTCCTTAGGAATCTTCACAGTCAAGGAAATTCAACAGGGGCTCTCATCCCTTTCCAGGGGTGAGAGTGAGCACTGGGAGTATGCACAGGTTCCTGGGAATTAAAGGGAAGGATTCAATCCAGATGAGCTCCAAGTTTGGAGGTAATGGTCATAAAAGAGATCCAACCATGATAGAAATGGTTTTGATATGAGGAATGCATTTCCAGCCTTCATTAAAAAATATTTTATAAATATAAACCAAGAGGCGTTTTCTATAGCTGAATGACTTAAAATATGTGTGTGTTCACCAAAGTCACTGTCATTATGGCTGGCCACAGTGACCACAAGTCTCCTTCCTGTTTCTAACTGGTC